TTGCCAGGACTTAAACTCAGACATACACGCATTCATATTCACACCAACTGACAATTTAGTGTTTTCAATTAACCTGACCTGCAAGTCTTTGGATTACGTGGGAAAACTCAAGGAAGTTGGGACATTATTGCTGTGAAGTCACAGTTGTGTAAAGTTTGTTGATATTGTAAAATTACCCATGTGATGTTAGTATCCCAACAATCAATGGACCTGCTGGATTGGGTCTCAAGCTGTTCTTTAGCATACCGCCACAAGAATTGTTGAATTTGATGCACCATCATTAGAACACAAAGCATTTCTTGAGACCCCGGCATTCTCTTCATTCCAACACACTCTGTCTAGCTCAGGGGTTTCCAACCCTGCTACTGGAGAACTACCTTCCTGCAGGCTTCAGTTCCAACCCAGCTCCATCACACTTGCCTATAATTTTCAAGTAATCTTGAACACCTTGATTAGCTGGTTTAAGAGTGTTTGATTAGGTTTGGAAGTAAACTCTCCAGGATGGTATCCCTCCAGGAGCAGAAATGGCTACTCCTGGTCCAGCAGTTTCTGAAAGACAGAATGTGTCCTATGTAAACGCCCAATAGGGTGACAATGTAATTATCTGCATCATTCACTTTGAGTACATCACCATGGGGAATCAGTGTTTGCTGAATGCATCTAGAGTAGACACAACGCATGTATTGTTGAACAGGTTTAGACCATCTCATAACACTGAAACTGCACTCAGAGTAACAAATGACTTGCTCTAGTGTTGCTGGACCTTAGTGCTGCCTTTGATACTATCGACCACAACATTCTCTTGGATAGGCTCAACAATTATGTTGGAATTACTGGGATTGCATTGGCATGGTTCAATTCGTACTTATCTGGCCATTATCAATTTGTAGCAGTCAATGAAGGGGTATCATATCGATCACAAGTTTTGTATGGAGTACTGCAAGTCTCAGTACTAGGACCGCCATTGATTTTCACCCTGTACTGACGATGAGGTTTGTGAATATCATATTTCGTATGAGTCCAAAGAGTTCCCACTCGTACGAGGTCAAGACTCAAAGAACTCAATGCAGTGACTTCTGGGAAACCAGTCTGCGGGTGTAAGTTTGGCTCATTCTGTGGCCATCCAGGATGTACGTGCATGTATCTTTCTTTAGGCCAAATTTCTATTTGTCCTCATCCCCTGATATACAAGTCTGTGTGTTTGTGTGTGAATGACTCAGCAGGATGAGGGACTCTCAGCATGACTGAATGTTTGGTGAGTCAAACTGTGTCTACTACTGGAAACATAAACCCAAACTGTCTGATCTGATGCCCATCAGATACAGAGGGAGGTAGCGTCGCCACACTGCACCTATAGTAATAAGGCCTGCGGTCTCAGGAGTCCACCTACACCCTCTATCTGACAGAGAGACACCCTCCTCTACCTCATCACAGAGAGCTGTTGGTTACTGTGTCTTGGAGTATGTGGGTTTTGGAGGTATGGCACTCCGGGTTACAGAAAGCGCTTGACAAATGAGACTCGGTCATCTGCTAGGCCTCTCTCTCACTCTCTCTCTCTCTGCTGCCCATCTGTTAGCTGAAAGCTTGAGGAAAGACTGCATTTCAGGCTTGATCTATGATCAGCTTAATACATTCATGTGTTCATTTATTTATAACCTTTATTTTTTCCACAGAGCACCCACATCTGGTTTTCAATAGAGCAAATGACAAAAGCGTAACATCACAAAGTGTCGCTACACAAAAACAATCACAAAAGACTGTTGTCTCCATAAAGTTCGCAATGGTTTTAGCTAAAGGAAGTTTGATGTTGTTGTTCCATCCATGACATTTATAAGTTGAATTCAATTGCTGTTTACTAGTCCATACAAGTAGACCAGAAGACAAAATCAGCCTCTAGATGACTCCAGTTTCAGACATGTACACCTTGTTATCAAATAGACCGTTCCAGTTCTGGATGCTGATTGGTTAATACAGCGCTCTAGTCTTGCTAAAATACATATAAGTGATGTACAGTCAGATGGTCACCATCTCAAAAATAACTGACTGGGTCATAAGCCACTTTTTTAGGACTACTGAAAGGTGAAAATATTATGATATAGACTTAAAAATAAAGGTTCCCTCACAGTGATGCCATTGAAGAACCATTTTTGGTTCCTCAAAGAACCCTTCAGTGAACAGTTCTTAAAAGAAGCATTTTTTTTTCTAAGTGTGAAGAACATTTCATAATCTAAAGAACCTTTTTTCCACTATAAAGAACATTTTGTGCAGAGGAAGGGTTCCATGAATGTTAAAGGTTCTTGATGGAACCATGCCAATAAAGAATCTTTATTTTTAAGATTGTTGGGATGGAATTGAGATGTGACACAGGCCAGATTCCAACATTCATGCCCCACCAAGTGGCTTGTCATCTCTCTGTGTGTATGACGCCATTGTGTTTGTCATCATGATGGCTGTTTCTTGTTTGGTTAATCCTTCTCAGGCTAATCAGATAACGCAAAATCAAACCTATTAACACTTGACATTCACATTAAGAATAATTTTCTAATTAAGTAAAAGTATAAACCAAAATGGTTTTAAATGTCATTTAAAATTTACAAAGAGTACTATTTGGGTAAATCACACAACACCAGTCAAAAACATTTCAGATGTGAAATCATATTTTGATTACTGTAATATATCAACAAAAATGCTGTTGTTCATACATAATTTAAATAGTAATCAAATAAATGTAGTTGTTTTCTTATAAGACAATTTTAATAATAATAATAGCAATCATTTTCACATTACAGTACTGAGACGTGAGAGAGGCACAATCTTCATGAAAATGTAATTCATCTGTTATACCAGACCTATATAGTTCATGTTCAAGTAGACAGCTAGGAGAAGCTCTCTCTCAAAACTATCAAGATGGCATTTTTTAGGATCACGGGGCACTGGATCAGGTCCTGACAGACTCAGACCTGACAGATCTCGACTGCCCGCTTTGCCCTGAGCCGTTAAGATTATGGCTTTTAAATATGTGATTAACCCACCAAGAAAAGACCTGCCTGGACTATTCAGCTTTAACACCAGCTCACAGTTAAGTTAGTGTTGTAAAACACTCTGTAAAATAGGTTATATCCACCGTACTTACAGGATACGTTTGACTCAACAGGCAGATGACAGCAGAGGTGATCCTTTAGTTTAAAACTTTACTATTGTTTATGCTTCTTAATGCAACTATATTAAAGTTTAAGTCCATGTGTACTGATATCATATGTGATGTCTGACTAGACTGCATTATCTCCACTTATACACACACCGGTGCACCTGTATGAAGATGAATTCATTATTTATTAGCCAGGAATGGAGTGACTCTTCAACAAAAAACAAAACAAAACAAAAAACATAACCAAAACAAACAAACAAACACTGCTTAAACGTTGCTGAAGTATCCATATTTTTTTTGGGGAGCTCTCTCTGACACACACTCTCCTTAAAATAACACACAGTCTGAGCTGTGGACATAAGCAGGCAGGATTGTGGGGGTTAATCACATTAGAGAGAGGGGAAGTGTGTAGAGTGAGACAGTGTGTGAGCGCAGCATAAAGGAGTGTTTCTGTGCGTGTTACTCCGGGTTAATCACATTAGATCTGGGTGGAGGGAGCGTAAGCTTTAACATTTACTACTATGTGTGTGAGGGTGTTTCTTCAACTTGATTTTTATTGATTTAGATTTTTGGAAACTATTAAAAACAACATATTTTTAAAAATCTTTTGTTAAATGAATATCATAAAACATTTGACCCCGACAACGTTATTTTTTAACGTTTTTATGTACTTTTGTCAAACTCTGAAAAAAGCATGAAAATATTGAATTGTATGCATTTAGGATATATAAAATGCTAGCTTAAAAAAATAAAAACCTTAGGAAGACAAGAGGTCATATCTTATACAATGTGAATTAAGAAAATTTACCAGCCGTAATTATTTTATTATAGCCACAACACTGCATTTTGAATTATTTCCTTATTTTTGTACATATGTAAAATATTTTTGTCCCAATGTACAAAATTTGCACAGTACACTTGATCAGCATTATATATTGTACCATAATATATTGTAGAATGAGACATTTTTATTGTATTTCTCCTACTTCATTCTTGATCTTCTACCGTCATATTTGAATACTTGTCATAAAAAAATGTAAGTGCACTTATAATAGGAAAACGTATCAATTTAGTTTAATATGATCATCTTCCATCTTCTCTGGCTGATTTTACTACTGTGTCATTATATATATATATATATATATATATATATATATATATATATATATATATAAAAAAATCTTTGCTATCACTTCTTAACAATTTAACATATCCTTGCTGAATAAAAGTTTTAATTTCTTTCAAAAAAAAAAGAAAGAATAAAAATGTACTGACCCCAAACTTTTGAACGGTAGTGTATATTGTTAGAAAAGATTTCTATTTTAAATAAATGCTCTTCTTTTTAACTTTTTATTCATCAAATAATCCTGAAAAAAAGTATCACAGGTTACAAAAAAATATTAAGCAGCAAACAGTTTCCAGCACTGATAATAAATCAGCATATCAGAATGATTTCTGAAGGATCATGTGACACTGAAGACTGGAGTAATGATGCTGAAAATTCAGCTTTACATCACAGGAATCTATTATAATAGAAAAACTTTATTTTGCATCATAATAATATTTCACAATATTAAAATGTTCCTGTATTTTTGATCAAATAAATGCAGCCTTGAAGAGCAGAAGAAACTCCTTTAAAAACATAAAAAAATCATTCAGATTTTTCATCAATCAAATCAAACATTCAATCAATCAAACTTTTGCACGGTAGTGTATATATATATATATATGTGTGTGTGTGTGTGAAAGAAAATATTAAATTATGTTCCCAGAAAATCCATGATATGGCCCACGTAACTTTAGTTTGAGTATTTTTTTTTTTGCATCTGAGCTGTGTATATTTGATGCTCACCTGAGCTCGTATCAGAGCCTCAAAGCTGGGCTGAAAGTAGTCGATGCGGCTGTTGTAGAACTTGGGCAACTCGTCCAATAGCTGGTTGTTCTTGGCTTCAAAGTCTTCTCTGACGGGCTTCAGTTCTTCCCTGGCCTAAAAACAAAACACACACATAATGCAGCAATAAATAAAACCAAGACTACTGCCTACCCCAGAATGACTTGCCATTTATTAAAGCATGCTGTAATGGTGTGTCATTAGAATAACAACAAAACAATTGTGTGAGGCCAGTATATTTTCAAGGGTGTGGAGGTGTGCAAATCACTGATCAGCACAGCGGAAGGGAGGGGAAGTGCTGACCTCTGCTAGGATATGACCTGCTTTCTATATATGACACAGGCCATGTGTAAATGTGATTGCAAACACACTATCAGTTCTCCTATTCTCTACGGCCGTGCTGAGTCCTTCAGTGTGTGTGTGTGTGTGTGGGCGATGGGCTGTACATGTATGTAGAAGTTTTCCAGGCACCCATCTGTATCTGTTTGCACATGTACAGTCCTTCACATGTCAACATACACATGCATAATGACCCAGAAGTGTGCAACAAAAAGAACAAACAATTATTGTTTGCTCATGTTCACTGGATCGTGTTACCGTGCGCGAGTGTGCGTGTGTGTGTGTGCGAAACCCAATTATCCCACAGTGTGTATTGAGCGCAGCCTCTTGAAAAAGTGCAGCTGAGTTGAGAGGCTTGTTTCTCTTGCGTGGGTGAGTTCGCTCGCATGTATACATGTGCTCTGAATACTTCTGCACCCATCCAGAGCAGCTTCCTTCACTTGTTGCTGCGTGCTAAAAAAATTCCAGCCAGAACTGTATGAGAGTGGACAGATGATAATAAACCAGATGACTCTTAAGGCCCAGCACACTCCAGAACAAGCATCCACTACAGGAGGCTGTATAAAGACCAGATGAAAACGGTGTTGTGTGAAGGGTTTCGTAGTTTGGATGGCTTTGTGTCTTTTCTGAGCCCTGGTTGAAGTCAACATGAAATAAAAATTGACCTCACGGTGCTGCAAGGATGACGTTTTTTAGAGGCCAAAACCCCAGAAATGAGCATTTTAGAACTTCCGATTCCATCATCCCAAATTAAATGGGCTTTTCGATTGGGTTTTTGGTAAGGCTGCCCCTTTAATAGTCAACTAAACGTTATTTGACTAGAAAAGGCTTGGTCGACTAAAATTGTATTAGTCAGTAGCAGAAAAAAAAAGGTCAGTGTCCGTGATGAACAGATTGTTAAAGGCTGGTTCTTGAAGTAATTAGTGTATCAGGCAGGAAATTTAAATGTAGATAAATGTTCACTATTAGGCGCATATCCAAGTGTTTGTGTGGAGTAGGGAAGCTAAAGCCAGCTACTGCATGGCATGGAGGCGCACTAATCGACTAATCACTTAAACGAACAATTATTACTCAACTAGAAAAATCTTTAGTCGGATGCAGCGCTAGTTTTCGGTTACATTTTTTTTTCTACGACAAAAGACAACAGTAAAATACCCTTGTGATTTTTTTTTTAAACATTTACTTGTCTTGAAAAAGTTAGTAAGTGGTTAAAGGAACACTCCACTATTTTTGAAAATAGGCTCATTTTCCAACTCCCCTAGAGTTAAACAGTTGAGTTTTACCATTTTCGAATCCATTCAGCCGATCTCCGGGTCTGGCGGTAGCACTTTTAGCTGTAGCTTAGCATAGATCATTGAATCTGATTGGACCGTTAGCATCTCGCTCAAAAATGACCAAAGAATTTCTATATTTTTCCCATTTAAATCTTGACTCTTCTGTAGTTATATCGTGTACGAAGACTGACGGAAAATAAAAAGTTGCGATTTTCTAGGCCGACATGGCTAGGTACTATACTCTCATTCCGGCGTAATAATCAAGGAACTTTGCTCCATGGTAGGGTGCAGCAGGCACAGTGATATTACACAGCGCCTGAAAAAACTTCCATCAACATAATCAACTACACAAACTTAGTGCCAGTCACGTTGGAAGTTACCTAGCTGGGACTATTTTCAGGCACTGTATAATATCATTGCGCCTGCTGCACCCATGGTACGGTCTAATCAGATTCAATGATCTATGCTAAGCTAAGCTAAAAGTGCTACCGCCAGACCCGGAGATCGGCTGAATGGATTCGAAAACGGTAAAACTCAACTGTTTAACTCTAGGGAAGTTGGAAAATGAGCCTATTTTCAAAAATAGTGGAGTGTTCCTTTAAATGGGACTACAGAGGTTGTCAAGGACATTAAAGTTAATCACACTCAACAGGTAAACTCATCTACTCACACTAGTAGCTTTCACAGCCTCAGTGTGTTTATAATTGCGCTATAAACTCAAACGTTCAGGGAAAATGTTTTTATTTTTGTAAATAAAGATAGAAATAGCTGTTGGCGACTTACAGTATGATGTTGAAGTCATGTGACTTTGGAGTTTTTAGTTTATAACCTACGATTAGCTTTTTACTTCTGGTGATTGTATTGCTTCAAAATTCATAGTTTGTGTTCATTTGTGAAAATTATCATGAAAAACAAAATGTAAGAATCATAAAATTTTGTTGGTCACAGAGCTTATTTTCTCGTTTCACTTAACACACATTCCTGTTCTCATTTGAAACAATATCCCGTTTCACTCAGAAATTTCATGAGGTCTGATAACAAAATTGATGCAGATATATGCGACAAATGAACAAATTAATGCCGGTCTCTCAATTAAAGTAAAAAAAATGAAACGCTCTCTGGTTATATATGTGCTTAAACACAAAATACATCTGATCTCACTGTTACATTCCTAATTTTAGATGACAAAATATAACTTTAAAATGAAAGCAATAGGGAACTACTACAGCAAAAATATGGTGTTAACTCGATGCATATGTATTAAAAATACATGCTATAATTTGTCAGCAATTATATGCCATATGACTACACCTTTTTGCTGCACATTTGTTGCAGATATGGTTTTATATTCAATAGCTCCTTGTACACAAGGCAAATTTTAAGACAGAAGCAGTTTCTCAAATTTTGTTTTAAAAACTTGTCCATTTGCACTGAAAATTCACACTCGGAGCAAACAAGCCTTAAGATGTGAGATTTATCCATATATAAGGTGTCAGAATAAACCTTGTGAAAATAAGCAACTGTATGTGGCCTATTAATGTAGAATATAGTGTGATGAAGGCAATGAACTGCAAGGTAAAATATTTGCAACTCTCATTATAGCAGCAGAAGGAGTGAACGCCCCATCTTTGAGTTAAAATAGAAAATCACCTTTTACATGAAGTTTATTTACTGTAGATTGTGCATAAGCTGAAAGTCTGAAAAACACAAATCTGTAATATGATTTGAGGGTCACGTTTTATTTGAATGTGTCCTTGTTACAGTGTAATTGCACAAATAAATACTGAGCAATATTAATTAACATGTACATACCAAAGGGTTAGGGTTTGGTTTAATTTTACTATAGTAAAATAAAACTTTACCAATTTGATTTCGATCTTTCCCTTTTCATGTAGACATGAGCTGTTTGTTTCATCTACGTAGAAAACAGCTACCTGGGGCGTTACCAACATGACCGCTGAGTGAACTTGCATTAAAGGATTTTTGGTATTAGTAGGCGATCAGTCACTCATTTCAAAATGAATGGCTGAAATTGCAACGCTGTCGGAAAGGAAGTCCTGCCTTTCAATTAAATGGAAGAACTGGTTGTACCTGATGGAGTTTAACCATGATGGGCCCCGTCTTCTCTTTTTCTTCATATTTCTCCACTTTAGACTGGAGTCTCTTATAATCTTGAAGAGCCTGTTCCCTGCGTTTTACCGCCATGTTCAGACTGGGAAACACACTGCTGTACCTGTGTACACAGAGCACAGACAGAAGAGAAAATGATCAACGTGCACGTAACACAGACATACATTACAAGGCAAATCATTAAAGGGACAGTTCACATAAAAATTAAAATTCTCTCATAATTTCTCACCCTTAAAGGGATGGTTCATCCAAAAATGATAATTTTATGTTTATCTGCTTACCCCCAGGGCATCCAACATGTAGGTGACTTTGTTTCTTCAGTAGAACACAAACGATGATTTTTAACTCCAGCCGTTGCAGTCTATCAGTCATATAATGCATGGCAATGGAAACAAAATCTATGAGAGTAAAAAAAAGGCATCCGTTGCGTGAGGTGTGTATGCGCTCTGGCGTAGTTTACGCAAGCGCCGGAAGTGGTCTCTCGCACGTATACGTCACTCATTGTTTACACAGTGCACAGTCATTGTAGGTACGACGGCTAATCAAAATGGTACTTACTTGCGCTTATCCGGATTGTTCAAACCGACTTAAAACTAAAAGATTACGTTCTCTCGCGCAAACTCATTCGGGAGTGGTGACTTTCCACGTATTCCCAACTTCTGAGCCTGCTCGCCTGAAGTTATGGTTGATTGCTCTTCGGCTGGATATCAACACACCCATTAACGTAAACTACGCCAGAGCGCGTACACGATAAACATCACATTTTCATTTTTGGGTGAACTATCCCTTTGAGTTGTTCCAAATCTGTATGAGTTTCTTTCATAAGCTGAACACTAAAGAATACATTTTAAAGAATGTTGGTAACCAAACAGTTGTCTGTCCCCATTGACTTCCATAGTAAAAAATAAAATACTATGGAAGTCAATGGGGACCAACAACTGTTTGGTTACACACTTTCTTCAAAATATCATATTTTACATTACACACAAAAAAGAATCTCATACAGGTTTGGAACAACTTGAGGGTGAGAAAATGATGGCAGGATTAAAATGTTTGTATGAACTGTCCCTTTAAGAAGACAAGGATGCACAACACAAGTCAACAAATGCAACAAGCAGAATAAATTAGTGTAAACTGTACATAAAACTAAAACATAAAATTCAACTGATTGCCATGTTTGAGTTATGAAGAAAGATTGTTTCTATGACGACAAACTATTATACCCACAGCTCAAATTAACATAAACAGCTAAAGGCTGGCACACACTACCAGATTTTCAAAATGTGACAGACCACAAACATAACGATAAAAAAAAAATCATAGATTTTGTTCCTATAGTGTAAACTGGAGTAACCAAAATGGCACACCAAACACAAACAGATTTCACTCACAAACAACCAGAGTCCCGACTGTGAACACAGGAAATCTCGCAAAATTTCTCGCAGTCAAATATGACTTTAGAGTAAACAAATGGCGGACGATGGGCAAAAAGGAAAGGCGAAAATAGTGTTTGGACCGCTTTTTACAGAACATTTGCAGAAATAAAAGAAAAAATTTTTTTTGGATGAAGTCATGGAGACAATGTGAACATGTTACCGTGCAAACTGGAGGCAGGGTTTCCAGGTCTGCAAAACAAAACCAGACCAATTGCTATTCAAAACTAGCCCACTCGCGATTCGTTTAATAATGTGTTGAGGAGGTTCATGCAGCATTAGCCCATTTTAACAGGATCACTTAATTACACAAGTGGCACGGAGGCATTTCATTTGGATTCTTTTATTGTTTCTATTCCAAATGAAAATATAATCTCTGGGTGAGAAGCCTGGTCTCAGGAAACTAAAAATAGGAAAACTCTAAACTGTAACTTAGCAACAGAGTCGGCCGCTTTGGTTTGAGGCCTGACTGCGTTTCAACTTTGCATCGCATGGGAGCACTGAGGAACAGTACAAACACATGACCCACACCGTTTTGTTCTTTGTAACAACTGAAAAAAGCGACTTACTTCGCAAAAGCTACAAGCCTTGGAGTAGGAGGACAGTTTTAGGGTCAAGGAGCTATAAATGTATGTTCTTATGTGCACTATTTGGGGGATTTAGGTGAAGAAACTCCATAAGGTGCAGTCGACTGTGCGTTATGCATCTTCAAGCTGCATGAAAAATGTTACTGACAATAGGAGAAGATGCGACGCATAAAGTGGCCTGTGGATAAACGGAAACGGTCAACGATGCAGCCTAAATTGCTGACTTTTATTGAGGTTGTTAACTACCGAGTCTACTTGAATAAATCAATAATCAAAATAATTGGTCATATTAGCCAGATGCTTCAAGAAAATAATTCAGAAAACACCATGTGGGGAGGACAAATAAATAAATAAAAAAGCACATCCAATCTAAAATCTCTGAAGGTGATTTAACATTAAAAAAAACCAATATAAACAATAAAATAGCATTTGAATTTAATGTAATGCACTTCTGAGAGAAACAATATTCAGGAAATAATGTAGCCGTTTGAGTTTATAGAGATTTTATTGGATCACAAGTGTAAACTCAAAGGCTGAATGCATGATTTATGCTTCTGATAAAATTTTTTCATTAGGATAATGTGCAATGATGATAAAAGCCATTCAATAACTGATGATGCAGGGCTCGCGGTTAAAACGATTTTAACGTTATTAATATTATTCATATTCCTGGAATATCATTCGAGATCGTCTTCAGCTGCTTTCTGGAGGTTTTATGGCAATATTCTCTGTAAAGTTGCTTAGTAGCAATATTTAACCTTATTATTTAAGCGTTATATTATTTAACATTATATTAATTACTTATTAAATTAATAGTGCACAGAAAAAGAGAGACATTTTAAAAAAAATGAATTTATTTTGCTTCTGTAAAGTAACAAATATTACTAATGGTATTCTGTGGTATCTGGCATCAAAAAGTTTGAAAATGACTGACGTAGTGGATTAAGATCTCAAACTGTAACCAATGTTTTGCAAGTTCAAACCCTGCGAGAGGTGATCCATAAACTTTCTCCACCTTTGGGTCAGGTGCAGACATATCAATCAAATCAGTAAAGAAAGTGATGAGCTACAGAGGTGAAAGTGAAGGAAAACTACAAGAAAAGAGGAGAATCAGAGAGAGAGAGAGAGAGAGAGAGAGAGAGAGAGAGAGAGAGAGAGAGAGAGAGAGAGAGAGAGAGAGAGAGAGAGAGAGAGAGAGAGAGAGAGAGAGAGAGAGAGAGAGAGAGAGAGAGAGAGAGAGAGAGAGAGAGAGAGACAGAGAGAGAGAGAGAGAGAGAGAGAGAGGGCTTCACCATGCAGAGCTCTGTTAAGACAAGCCCTAAATTGTTTCCCACAGGAAGTAAAGAAGGGAGCGGCACAATATCATTGTGGCAACGTCACAGGACCCAGCCCCACAACCCACGCTCACCCTCCATTTATAAAACACCACCTTGGCCCAATGACTCTCCTCTATCTCTCTTCTTGGCACGAATGTCAAGTGTGACAGCTGGATAATACATCATACAAACATAATTCTAACTTAAAATGACAAAATATAAATTTGATTAATAAAATAGATTCATAATAGTATGGCCACTTTCGTAGAAAAACACAACAGACTCCAATGTTCTCTTCCCCTTTAAAAAAAAAAAAAAAAAGAAAATTAAAAGGTTATAAACACCCAACCAGAGGTGGTGACCGCACCAAAACTCCACTAAAATGTAAAACAAATGTATGAGAGAGAGAGAGAGAGAGAGAGAGAGAGGGAAAACAACTTAATATTTAAAGATTTAAAGACTGATGGATAAAATTGGTCCTGATTTTCCACATTTTTTTTTAATTATCCTTACCAGTCATTTTTGATTATTGATGAACAATTTTCTTAAAATAATTTTAATTTAGAATGATTCACTAATAAATCATTCAGTGATTTGTTTAACCGATTCAAGAAAATGATTAAAAATAATACATTTACTACATAAAAAAAATCCATGATTTTTTCAGAAATGTAAGACATACTGTCCATAAAATTCCATAAAATAATAAGGATTTGGCTGGCTGGATGCATGCATTCTATTGGATGGTAAGATCAAATTTACCATGAGTGGTTTATTTAGGATGCATAAAAAAAAACACAGGATCCTAAGCTGTCAAACATAATAAAAAACAACAACAGCAAAGATAAAATAATACAAAACACTGTTTAATAGATGGCTTTATCATGTGTACATTTCCTCAAATCACACGCCATTATTAATATAATTTGTATGACTGAAACCTAAGTCAGTAATCACTGAAAATCTTAAAACACTGAAAACACATTTTCATTTTTGGGGCAATGATCCTGCACATACACATAAGCATAATCTATTTATCTACATCTACCCACACTATACTGGTAAAATAAAAACTTGATCATGTTACATGAAATATTCCAGGTGGAATTTGCATCTTTTGTCCCCTGAGAGCAGGTTCAGTGCAGGCTAGTGCCTGCTCTGTCTATAATGACAGTTTACGGGTGTTGTTCTTGGAAGTAAGCGATTTAAAAACACTCGCTGTAATCTAGACGAAACGCTTCAGACGGACTAGAGGACGGCCCGTCTGACTCGGCACAACCCAAACACACGGTCATGTGCCCGTCCCGTCTAAAAGCTCTCGATGTTTCGTTGAACATCCGCTTGACTGCACACACACACACTTACACTCCACCTCGCTGGTAGGCTGTATAATTTAACACCCGTCTAGTCTGGCTGTGGGTGTGGTAGCCGCTTGACAGAGAATGACAGGCATAACAGTTGGCTGTTTGCAACAGCGGCACACACACACACACACACACACACACGCAGCTCCGTGAGCCAAACCAGAGTCTGGACGGGATGACCGCTGTGCAGCTACCCGTGCTCCTGTCCGCGGGACAGCGTAACAGTACACATAACAGTTGGCTGTTTGCAACAGCAGCACACACACACACACACACACACGCAGCTCCGTGAGCCAAAACAGAGTCTGGACGGAATGACCGCTGTGCAGCTACCCGTGCTCCTGTCCGCGGGACAGCGTAACAGTACGTCTGTGCAAGAGTTTACTACCAAGTTCACTGTACT